GTCGCCGCGGCCGCAGCTGCCGGCGCCGCCGGACCGGGCGGGGCTGTCGCCGGCGCCGCGGCCGGCTGTGGCCATGTCGGCTGCCAGCCGTCCGGCAGCGGCTGGTCTACTGACAGGCCAAAGGCGGTGCAAAACAGGGCCCATCGGTAGAAGCCGTGGTGCGCGCCGCCTGGGGTCAGGAATTCGAACTGGCTGTTGCCGCGCTGCTTCTCCTGAACCTCAGATATGAAGCTGGCGCCGCCCTGCAGCGCGTAGCGCGCAAAAAGGAGGATCCTATCCCGGTCCGCCTGCTGCGGCGGCGCGGCGGCGTGCGGCGGCGGGGGGTCGGCCGGCCCGAAAAAGGCCAGCACCCCTGCGTGCGCCATCGCCGGACCAGGCGCCCGCCGCTGCTGGCGCACGCGCCGCTGGTGCTGGCCGCGGCTTCACACGTCGTCGGACGCTGGGCTGGGCTTTGCGGCGGGCGGCCGCAGCCGGCCCCACGCTGGGTGTGCGAAGGGCAGCGCCTGGCTGAGCCGTGGGGGTGGCAGCAGAGCGCGAGCAGCAGCGGCAGCTGTGGCGCACTGAATCTTGTCGTTACAGCTGCAGGTCACAGTTTACAGCTTGCACGTAGCTTTGTGTTTGTGATTGCCTGTCTGTCACTTTATGAGCGCCATGCCAGCGCCAAGCCTGATCTCTGAGCACAGATGAGATCACACATGCACTCGATTGTAACCTTGGTCAGTCGATCGATTAAACACAAGTTCTTTTATGGTTCAAGATCTGCGAACCTGAATAGGCCGCTTCTGAACGTGTCACTTTGAGAGCTCCGGTGACGACCGGCTACGGTAGTGCAAAACCACGGGCACTGATCAGTAGCGCAAACTTGAATTGCACCTACTATTCCAGGCCATCCCGCTGTGCAATCCAACGCCCGCTCGACCGCCTGCCCGGTGTGCCCCGCTGCCCGTGCTGCTGCCGAGGCGCAGATTGTCGGGACAGCCCGAGCGGCACACACGCAGCCAACCCGCAGCGGCGCCCACGGCCAAGCGACCATGGTCATCCCGCACACGGCCCGTGCGGTAGCCCCGGCCGCCGCGCCGCGCCGCGCCCTGCACTTTGCGCGGATCGCCCCGCCCAGCGCCCCTCACCACCACCACCTGCCGTTCCGTCTGCCCTGGGCGCACGCGGCGGCGGCGAGCGGCGCCACAACAAAGCTCGACGTCGACTTCAGTGGCACCTGGGTCAAGGTAGGCGCCCCCGGCTGATCCGTCTCGTAGCTGCATGGATCGTCACCAGTGCCGCGGCCGTTCGCACGGTGGCCATTTTTGACCCAACGCACGGGCCTCCCCCGACCGTGCGACATACTGCGGTCCGCCTCGCCCTCGGGTTGGCAGGGTGTCCCCTTCCCTCTCGCTTTCCTGTCCCTTACGCCACACCCTCAATGCCCAGGACAAGGCGCGCAGCGACAGCATGGACGAAGCCATCCAGCTAATTGCGCTAGGCGGCCTCATGCGGCAGGCCATCAAGCTCATCAGGGGTGAGGGCACGGGTGATCTGGCATGATATGATCTGAAGTAATCTCATCTCATTTGATCCGAGTGTACCTGGGATGAGATGCGGCCATCGGTTTCCTGGCTGCGGGGCCGCTGCTGCACCTCTGCAGGCGGCAGGCCCCCCAACTTCTGTCTCCCCAAGCTTTTCCACACCACAACACGTCACTGCCCCAGGCGTCCAGATCAAGCAGGACTCTGAAAAGTTTGTGTTCTCAGTGCTCAGTGTGTTCACGTGGTTCAAGGCGAGCTCCATCGCGGCCGCGCCCCGCCGCCCTCCCCCACGCGTTGATTCTGCTTGACCCTGCGCGAACGCGCAAGGGGGGTGCTGGACGGCCCTGCAGACATGGCAGCCGTGTGCACAGCAACTGTGCTACCAGGTGTTGCCCCGGCTGCCCCTATCAGGAGAGGTCCCCACAAACAGGCACGGAAACGTGATCTCATCGGTGTTCTGCTTGACGTTGACTTGTCTCTGACCGCCCCCCTCGCCATGCAGGTCACCGAAACATACCCTTTATCTGGAGAGCCGGCCCGCTGCAGGCGACGCGACTTCCGGGGAGGTGCGCCGCCCCGCCCGGCGCCGCCGGCGCCGCCGCAGCTGCACGGGGCGCCCGTCCTCCGCTGATTCGCGCGCGTGTGCCCGTGGGCACTCAGATCGCCGCGGCCTGCGCAGGCTGGCTGCGGCCGCGCAGTGCACAGCGACCTGCCTCCCTCGCGCCGCGCCGCGCTGCGTGCGCAGGCGGCCACGTTGGGCGTGTGGAGGTGCCAAGCCCGGACAAGCTGCGGCTCGTTTTGGAGTGGGGCGATCCGCACGGCGGCACAGGGGAGGACGGTGCGCGGCCCGGCTGGCGTCCTGGGAGGGGCGCTGCCACGTGGTCACCCTTCTTATACCAAAGTTATAGTTGAAAGGGCGACGGATTCCCCACGGCTGCTGTGAGGGTCCACGAGGTTGTGGATTCAGCAGTCTTGCGGATATACCCGAGGTTGAGCGTGCAACCCCGCATTGTAAGCACCGCGCAAATTTGCTGCCCGGCAGGCTGCGCCTAGCTCCCTGGTCTAGTCAACAATGACATACCCCCTGGTCAACTGAGTCTTGCCAAATCCGACGTATCCCCGAGCCAAGTCTGCAACCAATGAGTTTGACTTCACCTCAGCCCTTTCTGACGAACCGGCCCTGCCATGCCTGCGCGCACCCCCTCAACAGTGTTCTCCATGCCCAGCCCAGACGAGCTGATTGTTGACCAGGTGACGCGCGCCAAGGGGCCGGACGGCGCCGAGAAGGAGGTGCGCTACCGCTCAGTCTACACCCGCAAGAAGTGACGCCGGGCCGATGTCGGTGCGCAAGCAAACCTCAGTCCGCAGTAGATTCGTGCCTTACATCCCCCAACATGCAGACGTAGTCCAGCAGTACGACTCTCAAGATGTCACATCGCACAATGTGTAACGTTTCAGCCGACGACATTTCAATGTCACCGTCGCCAAGACCTTGCGCATACAAGGCGACAGCAGTGGTGTCAGCGCCCCAATTCATTGCAGGTGTGCAGTGCCACAAAGAAGCCACCATCACGAGCTAGCGGCGTCCCCACCAGCGCATCCGCCGCGAGCGGCTGCCAGCCAGCCACCACATGCAGCGCCCGCCAAGGTCACCGCGCCTTCACGTAAAGGCGCACGCATGGAGCGAGCCCCGGGTCTGTCCCCAGACCGGTCGCGAAGCTCACGGCCGCTGCTACGGCCTATCAGTCGGTCTTGGCGGCGGCTGTCGGCGGCGGCGACAGCTTCTTTCGCCGCTGGCGCAGCAGTGTCGAGTAGAGGCCCCACCAAAGGTAGGGATACAGCAGCAGGACGACCTGGGGGCAGGGCGGTGGACGAGTCAGTGTATATGTGCAAGAGGGAGAGAGATGTGTGTGGGAGAGAGTGTGTGTATGTGTGTAAGAGTGCGTGCGCTTACACACACTCAACACACGCACACGCGCATGCACACACACGTGCGCGCGGGCACATGCACACACCGACGCGGGCACATGCACATGCACGCCGTGGCGCACCGCGATGAACGTGGCGTAGTCGAAAGCAAAGTTGTAGTTGTTGGGCATGAAAACGCTGAACAGGCCGCGGTCGCGTATGAAGGGCAGCGCCAGGTACATGAGCACCATCTCGGTAACAACGCCAGTAGGGTAGATGGGGATGAAAGCAGAGTACCTGTTGCCACGGCAGCGAGGGATTACCCAGAGCAGTACGAGGCGGTTTGATACATCAGGTTTGGTTTTGCAGCAGCTCGCAGCCAGCCTGCGCCGACTTGAAGTCGTGGCGTTTGACACAAAGCCAGCACTGTCGTCAGCGCCCCAGGTGCATGCGGTCGCCGCCCGACAGATGCGAGCAGGCGCACGCTTGGGGGCCTGGTCACACGCGCTCACCTGAGCCATGTCAGCCAGCCCGGGCAGGCGTTCGCTGCGGTGGCTGCATACCAAGGGTACCGCACCACCTCGCCCAACGACCAGCAAGCCAGCATCAGCGGCGCCGCCGGGTTGGCGTGCAGCTGCGCGGCGCGTGCCGCAGGCGGGAGGGGTGTTTGAAGCAGGGCGGGCGCCTCAACAACTGAAACGTGCCGATTGGCGTCCCTCTTTTTGCGAGCGAACCTGAACACACTGCGGTTACCTCTTCACTGCAATCCAAAAGCGGCTTCAGCATATTGCCTGTCATGCCTTCCAAGCGGGAGAGCATCAACAACGTTGTTGCGTGGCCTCTACCCCTGCTGCCTTGTCCGTACCTCCGGGATCGCCTGGGCGATGCGGTACAGGGCGTTGGAGCGCCCAAGCCACTGCATGAACGTGTTCAGAGGGCTGCTGGGCACCAGGCCTGGTGGGGCGTCGGCGGGTGGCGCATACATAGGCAGGCAGATGGCGGCGGTCGGCGCGAGAGCGCGGGAAGGCTGGGTGCAAGTGGGTGATCGTGGCAACAACGTTGGGAGGGCCCGGTTGCGCTTACCTCCAGCACAGGGCTGAGCAAACATAGCATGAGTATGTTTGCTGAACAGCTGCTGCTTATTGGCGCCTCATCTTTCTGAGAGTGACCAGCTTGCTGCGGTGCCAGCACCAGCAGCTGATGCGTGCCGCGCATTCGCAGCGCTGTTGTGCTCCTTGCCGAGCGGCTGGAAACCCCTGCGGTACCTCACCTGTCGCCGCATGCACGATCTCTACAAACGCGATCATCTGCATCCAAGCTACGGTACGGCATGTGGATGCAGTAAACAGTCAATGTTACGAACCTCCTCAGCAGTGGACGCGCTGCACACAAACAGTGGCGACGCGGCGCGCGCACCTGCCGCGGGAGCTCCAGCTCGGTAGGCGCCTGCTACATTTGCACCCTCCAGATAGGCCATTGAGACCTGCGCCAGGCATACGGCCCACCCAACTGCCTGGAACACATTATACACGATCAGGTAAGCTTTGGACGCGGACCCCATTTTGAAACACGAGCCACTTGTGGATCAGAGAAATTCGCTCGTGTGCGTGTGTCCCATATGACACGATCAATTACTGAGTATTGGGTTTCAATGCCGCCAGGATCTGTACTGCTGCACAACGCTGCGGCAGCGGTGACTCGGGAGCACGCCGCGCCAGGGGGGGGGGGGGGTCCGGGCTCGCACGCCCTGCACTTGTCGCGGAGGGGTCGATGGCACATGCACCGCTTCTCGACAATCAATGATGAGGTGTCTAGCCGCAGCAATGGCCTTGGCGTCTGTGCAACGAGCGGGGCAAGGTATTTGTGTCAGTTTTCTGTTCAGTGCCTGGCGAGCAAAATGATGCTGTACCTGGCCGTGTTTCTTTCTTTCCTGTAGATGGCAGCCAGCTTGATGCAGCTTGCAGGCGGCTGTGTGCATGGGCTTGTGTGACCCACTATACAACGACAAAATGATGGTTGAATATCGACCCTGTTGCCAAAGTGATCGGTGAACACAGCCCTTCACCCCCCCCCCCACTCCCCTACGCGGCAGATGGGGTGGCATAAACATGCACGCTCATACATGCACACACACACACGCATGCGCGCGCGCGCTCACACACACACACACACACACACACGTGCACACACGTGCACACACACACATGCATGTGCAGCCTCTCTGCAATCACACAGTACGGGATGTAGTGTGCTATCTGCGGCCATGCCAGGCATCGCCATGGGAGGTGGCTGGGCTGCAATTGCATCACAAAGTGCAAGATCATGGCTGCTCGTGGGCCCAACACATCCTGCTGCAGGCTAGTGGGGTCGGGGGACCAGAGGGCTCCAAAGGAGTGAATGCAGATCGGCTCGTTTGCAGCAGGACTTGTCGCCGGCCTGGGTGCGGTCGACGCATGCTGTTGGTGGGGTTTCCTTCAACCTCAAATTGCCGCGCATCCAACGCAGGGAATTTGGAGTCCCATGCACATCACGTGAGCAATAAACCTTGCATGTATGCTGGCGACATGGCAAAACCTTATGGCTGCACCTGCTGGTCAGCATTAGGCATCGGGACGGATGCTCGTCCACAGCCCACCTGCCCCGCAGGTCTCCCTTCCATCATGCCAAGCTGAAAACGGTCCGTGGGCGCTCAGGCTGACTGGCTGTGTGGTAATGTGGTAGGGCTGCACCGGTCAGGCTCTACCGACGACTGCGGGCGTGCCATATGTAACAAAGGGCGCCGTATTCAGCAAGCCCTTGGACATTTGGTGCCCTGTCTGTCAGAAAATCTGTGCAGCAGATGCCGCCTAGTCATTATGCAGATCTTCTGGCTTTGCGGATTGCATCTCTAACCTACCTGTTCATGCTGACAGCGCTGCACGTGCTGTGGTGGTGCCACTCCACAGGTGGGTGTCTGAGTGAGAGGCACAAGTTCCCAGCTACAAGATGTATTGGCTGTCTAGTCATCAATCATGTTATCTGGCCAACAGATTTGAGGATGCTGGGACTCCTGGATAAATGAAGGGCTGAGCTCAGCTGCGCACATGTCACAGCACGCGCAGCCAGCGGAGCGCAAGCCTTGCTCATCAGCACATCGGCGGCAGCTTACCCAGGTCTACAAAGACTAATAAGTTAGGGCTGCAAATCCATGATTCCTTACTGGGATGCGTGAGGTTTTATTCCGCACAATTCGCCTGAGGATCTGATCTATTTCCGTTCTCGCCTGACCTCTTGGACTTTACCTAGCTACTGCTTATCATGAGCTACATTTCTAGTGGATAGCGGACAGGGCAGGATACTGGTAATCGCAGAGGACACCACTAGGGCGCACCGCCTCGCCAGGCATCGCAGCCGCGAGCACCGGGGAGCTGCCACAACAGCAGCTCACCGGGCGCGGCCGCGGCCACCGCGTCCTTGCCAGTGCCGACGAGCATCGAGGCCACCCGTCACCTGTACCAGTTGTGCCTCGGCGGCGTCGGCAGTCCAGCTGTGGACACACCGGGCGCCATAGCCTGGGGGCTGAACAACTGTTGCAACATTCTTTCGAAGCAACTTGATTGGCAACGCCGCCATGACGGCGCGCGTCCTCGTCATTCCCATTTTCCGGCGCACATGGCTGGAGCACGTCTGCTCTGGCGCCGCCAGCCGCGGGCCGCCGACGCCCCACTGGAGCACGGGCGGCACGCTTCAGGCCAAGGCCGGCCTCGCGGCCGCCGGCCTGCGCGAGTGGGTGAGTGTGCGCACGCCCCAACGGAGCGAAGCCGCGCCGGGGCCGCCAGCAAAGCGGACGCCTGCAGCACGCTCCGCTGGCTGCCTCCCAAATCAAGCCAATTGAGCAGCACGGCCAAGACTTTGTGAAGTGGGTCGCTGCGTTGCTTGCCGTGTCACAGGCGTCCAGCCTGGCAAATTTCACTCCCGCTGAATCTTTGACCGGTCAAACGAAGGAGCGCGCTTGCCTGTGGTACATCTTCCCGCCCCCTTCACCCGCAGGGCGCCGCCAAGGTGGATGCTCAGTGGCACAAGATCCAGTCAGCACCAGAGGGCACGATGAATAGCTACCTATTCAAGTGGGTGCAGGGGCGCAGGGGCCGCCAGCCGGCGACGCCTGCCACGCGCCAAAGCGACACACTGCCTAGTCCACCCCACCGAGGCGCGGCTCGCGCCATCCAACCGCGCGCACGTCCGCCTGTGGGGGCGAGCGCTGTGCCCTCGGTGCCGCCTAAGCTGCGGCCGGCGCCGCCGCGGTGCTGCTCGCCCAGCCCCACCGGCGAGCCTGCAAGGCGCTTACGGCATGAACGGGCCCCTGACGCCCGCAGGCTCGCCCAGTTTGTGCTGCGGCGCGTTGACCCAGACGAGAGCTTTTTGAAGGACCTGCCCTCAGGGGCGGAAGAGCTGCTGCTGCATCACCCTGTGAGCCGAGCCCTGTTTTAATGCTCTGGCGGGAACACTGCATCCTGGACGTCTGATCTTGGATGGGTAGCCAGCCGAATGGGTCATGTTTGATACGCATACAGTTCGGTATATCAGGGCCACAGCCCTGGGCATCGTACATTAATCTGCGTAACGGATGCGACAGCGCCGGCGCCTGCCTCCTGTCCTCCTTACAATGCGCACGTCGGCGCCGCGGCCCCGCAGACCAGCATCCCCGCGCGCCTCGTGCGGCGGCGGCTGCGGCTGCTGTGCCGCCGCCGCGAGCCGTTCCACCGGCGGAGGGCGTTGATCTGGGCAGTGTCAACCATACCCCAGCTGCCGCTGGTAGGTGGCAGCGCCCGTATTGCAGGGCCGTCCTTGTGGGGAGGCTGGTGCTGCGTGCCACCCGGCGTCGCTGCCGGCGCCGTGGCTGAGGCATTCCGCCGACCGAGTTGGTTCGGCGGCTCGACGGCCAGTTTCTACCGACAACACCATGTGTCTCAGCAGCAGCACGGCCTGCGTCACGATTTGGCACCTCCACCGTGTGCGGCGTCCCTTGAGGCCCGTGTGTGCTTGCTTGTGAGTGACGCGGCTCCTCCTCTGAGCCCCCCGTCTCCCTCACCTTGCCTGCAACGCCGCCGCCCTCTTCCAGGCTGTCCTGCCTCTCCCAAACATCCCAATTTACTACTCTGTATGGCGCGCTTGGAGCCACCGCAGCGCGGGCTTCGGGGCGCGCGCGCTGACGGGCGCGCTCGACGCGGCGTCAGACGTGCAGCGGTACGAGCTGGCGCTGCAGCTGCAGCGGCTGCGGGACGAGGGCGGTGCGGCGCTGCGGCCTGGGGAGTGGCCGGCGCAGATGGTCGAGGGGATTGACAGGTGAGCCCGGCAGCCGTTTGTTTGTGTGTTTGTGAAGGGGCGGATGGGGCGGGCGCGGACCGTTGGATTGGGGTCGTGCCGGTCTGTTGCTGTGAGTGCACGTGAGTGGGTATCAACCTGTGTCGAGAGGACGGCGTGCAGGGCGCTATCCCGCCCGTGTCGACCAGCTGAGTCGGCAAGCGCATTATTGTGTTTGCCGCTTCCCGTGATGCATGTGCAACCACTGCAGCCTGCGGGCGGCCGCGGAGGCTGCCCGGGCCCGCAGCCCGCCCGGCGGCAGCAGCGGCACCTCTGAAGTGCCCGTGGCAAGCGGCGGCAGCCGAACAGACGCTAGGGGCTCGGGCGGCGGCAGCGAGCCTGTGGCAGGCAGCAGCGGCGAGGCGATCGGATGCGGCGCTGTTGGCAGCAGCAGCAGCAGCAGCAGCAGCAGCAACAGCAGCAGCAGCAGCAGCAGCAGCAGCAGCAGCAGCAGCAGCAGCAGCAGCAGCAGTGGGAGCGGCGGCAGCGACACTGCTGAGGAGGCGGCGTTGCCACCCTCTCACGCGTCCAAGCCGCGCGAGCGGCCCAAGCTGCTGCCCATGCCGGTCTTTGTGGCGGACTCCTTTTTAGAGGAGGTCGTGCGGCCCGATGCCAGGTGAGCGGCGGCTGCCCGCGTCGCTACTGAGCGGCACACGGCGGTGCATCACGAGCGTTTGAGACATCCTGAAGCGGCCTGGCATGTGGCTCCCCTGTGGCAGCTCCCGGCTCCTCGTGCCCCACCCACAGCGCGCATTGTGGGAGCCGGGCGCAGCGGCCAGGCGATGGTGCTGCGTGGCTGCGCTTCGACCCGCCACCCTTGGCACCTCAAGATGTCTGCTTCCTCGGATGGCGTCCCGTCCGCAGGTGGTCCACGCCCCTGGATGAGGCTGCGGTGAGGAAAATAATGGATCGCTGGGACCAGGACCATTTATACGAACACTTCAAGGCTGCCCAGATACGATGCCTGCCAAAGGACGCAGCTGAGGGCGCCGCCAGCAGCGGCGAGGGGGCCGGTGGCGGTGAAGTTGGGGAGCGGCAGCGCTAGCGGGCGCAACGTGCGGGCGGCGGGGCAGGTGCAACTGCATCGCCCGTGTGCGTGGTCTCAGAACTGAGGATGGCCGGATCAGCGGCATGGTGGTGAAACGCAATCTGGCTGCAGCTTGTGCTCGTTTGCATGGGTGGGTGCTTGGAGATTGGCGGCGGCGCTCGGGCATCCACAGCATCGTGTCCCAGTTTTGGCCGTGGCTGCTTCATGCACTTGAATGAAACGCATTGCACCACAAAACGTTGTGCTGCTAGGGCCGTAAAGACTGCTGGGTCCTTGGCACTGGCAGGATGCTAGAAGCAGAAGCAAGACTGGAGTTCCAGACGCGTGCGGCTAGCTGCTGAAGCAGCAACTGCGGAGCAAGCGGCTGCGCCAGTCCCGCAAGGCAAGCAGCTGCAAGCTGCTTCTGGCACAACAAGCCAAGCACCGTTCTCATATCTCCGTAAATTCGCACGCACACTCCATTTTGCCTATCATCACAATTTCCGTCATAGAATCAAACACGCAGCCATGCATGGCGACACCTCTCCCGAAGCCCAGCCTGGCGGGCCTCTCACGATGAACGAGGCATATGTAAGATATAAGAAACCTCTGTGTTGCGGTAACCTATTGCACAGACGTGAGGCGCCACCAACCACCTCGGCAACTTCCTCACTCCGCAGCGGCGCTTGCCAGCCAACTTGAGCGCTCGCTGCCTCTCGCCCCGCGCACAGGCCCTGATCAGCGCGGGGGCTGGAGTCAGCGACAGCAAGAATCAGCAGGGAGCCCTTGCCCCTTCCGCATCGCTGCTGCCGCGCAGCGGCAGCATTCCGCCAGCCCCCCCGCGCCCCGGCCCCCCACTGTCACGCCTGGGCTCTGGGTCCGTGCCAGCACCATGCTTTGGGCAGCCGTCATCCTCGCCTGTTGCCGCAGCTACGTCTCTCATGCGCGGGACATCACTGGAAGCGGCGGCCGCCAGCAGGGAGCTGTTTGCAGTGGGAGCAAACTCACAGCCAACCTCAGCCCGTGCTGGCCAGCAGGTGAGCAAATATGATTGAAAGCAGCCTGCCAGTGAGTGGGTCGCAGCGCGTGTGCCACAGTGATGATGTCGTCTCGCCATCACGGGCACATGGCGCTCGGGAGACGCCACATCTCGCATGGCGCTTACCACCCGTGCGCTTTACTCAGGCCGCCATCCATCAACAGACTGCTTTACGGGTCGCTCGCCGCTGGCATGCCTTGCTGGTGTCCCTCACCGCCCACCTTGATGCTCCCAGTATTCCTGCAACCCAACTCGTTGCCAGAATTTGCCCCTGTAACTACTGTTTCCTATCCCACGCTAGGATGCATGCGTAAAACCACATCCTCATGCGCAAATCCACAACCGCATACACCCCAAGGACGAACCCCCGCTGCTGCACGCCGCGCGCCGCGGCTCGACGGGCGCCGTCGCGGCGCTGCTCGCCGCGGGCGGCGACCCGCGCGC